GAGTGACAGACTTGGATTTCTCCCAGAGTATGGAACTCCACCGTTCATGCCACATTAGACTCCACATTAAGCTAAAACAGCCTCTATTCCCACTGTCCTGTTAAGGGCAATTGATGCTTCAGACTCTTCAACAATTGGACCTCTGTAACAAATAGATTCACTATCTTCACCCCTCTGGGTAGAGCCCTGTGGTTCTGCTGTATTTGGCACCTACAAGAAATTTGCCATCTGGGAGCCTGTGACTTATTGACTGTTGATTAAGGTGAATTAAAACAGCTTCTTTCCAGCAACAATATTATGTGTAGAACTGTGCAAATAACTTTTATTTTTAATTTGATCACTGAACTGAAAAATTGAAGGAAAAAAACCCTATTTTAGATTGACTCAAACTGAAGTAAAAAAATAGATTTCTAAATCAAGTTGTTTTGAATTAAAATCAAAATGTTACATTCAGAAAATGTAGAAATTAACTGTTCTGAGTTTTGGGGAACTTGAGGTGGTGCAAGGAAGGAAAGATTTGACCAAAACTGTTATGCAAATTCAACACTAATTTATAGATATTTTGGTCAGCCCCAAACTGCATTTTTTTGACATTTTTTTGACTAACGTCTTTTCACTCACAGGTACACACACAGCAAGCAGAGAAAAGTATTAAAACAACAAAAGAGTTGCATGTCTTGGTCTTTCTAATCCTAAATCTTATCATTTCTCTGAAAACTTGGCCCAGTCTATCTGCCTCAGACTCTATCCAAGCAGGGCCAGTATATTGGTTCCACTGCTTTCCTGTATTTTCTGCCTCTTTTTTTTTTGTCAGAATATCCTTTTGAATCAGGTGCTGGCACTTTATCCCTTCACAATCTGAAGAGGAAGGGGTTTTTGTTCCAGTTTCATGTCCTTTTGATTTAAGGCCCTACAGTCTTGGCAAATCAGTTGTGTAACTGGCCACTGGAGATAATATCTTTTCAGTTAATAGTCCAGTCACATTACTTAACTCTTCTAAAATTATTTACCCAGAGATATCTTACCTTTTCTTCTTAACATTAAACATCTTCTCATTAAACTAACCCAAAACGTTCAGGAAGAGCTGTGTGTAAACTCAAAAGCTTGTCTCTCTCACCAACTGAAGTTAGTCCAATAAAATATTATTAAAGCTAATGTTAAAAATGTATATAACACACAAGAAAAGAGTGTCTGTACATCTAGGGATAGTGTTTAGATTATCCACAAATACAAAATCTGTTTTAAAAGTCATCAGATACATACAGTGCATAATCAGCAATAACTCAAATTTAGATGAATAAATTTAGCAATACGGTTTAGGTGTTAGCATGAAGTATTTGGGTACATCACTCATGAAAAGTATACAGAAAGTTGGTTGGGAATGGCAAATATATCAGTGATTGTCTCTCGGTAATTGAGACTTTAGAGTAGATTGTCAGTTAAAAAATAGAATCCATCAGGGAAGTATTTCACTTAATTTTCCCCAGTTGTGCTTCTCATAGACATTCCAGTTCATCCCTCTTGGTATTGCCGTTGGCAGGTGATGTCTTCTAGTTAGATGTCCCTTGATCACCTGCTGGTTTCTGATACCATAAGTTGTCAGCCAAGTGTAGTGTTGACTAGTTTCATATTCTCTCCACATTTCCTCATTATAGGATTTCCATGTGCCCAGGGTTCCAATGATCAACACATATGTCCAAATCTGTTAACCCTTCGCTCACAAAGTTTTGGGCAGTGGGGTGTATTTCTCCACTTTTTCAGCCCTGGTGCCATGGAAGGCGGAGGTTTTATTCTTGAAGGTCACTGTGGTATCACCATCATAATCTTCTTCTGGTCCTCATTGGTAATGACGATGTTCAGTCATAGATGTCTGCCTATTCCAATAATGGCGGTGCTCACCGCCTCCTTCCCAGATGGCTCTGAGTAGGCAATGTAGGATGGCATCATATCACAGCTGCCAGGTTCTGGAATGGGGCTTGTAGCTATACAGGATTTGGGATAGTATCTTGCTGGCATAGTCTAGTGATGCAGGAACTGGGGCTAATTTCCACAGAGGATGGCTCCAGTTGTGCTGGAACTCAATTGAGCCAGGTTCTGTGGATGAACCTCCAGTCAGCAAATTAGGTGAAGGTGCCCCTGGGGAGGAAGTGGTTGCTGGCACACCATTTGCACATCAGCTTAAAGGCCTTGTCCTGGCCTGTCTTCTGGTTCGTGCTTTCCACATACTGGCCATTTTTAAATTTTCCTTTATGTAATGACAGCGACTGGCTTTTGACTTCTTGCTATGCTGATCATGTTGGTTTTGTGATCTCCTGGCAAGCCTCATTCATTTATATCTAAAAATAAAGATATTTTCTAGCCCTTTCTGAATTAATGACGAGCATTTCCAGGTACAACCAGAGTCTTGCAACAAGGAGTCATCCCTCTTCTTATGGTTTTCACAAGGGCTGATTTAATTCCTCCCTTCTTAAGAATCTTGTGTCTCCCAAATCTTGCATGGCATTTCCAGTCTGACAAGCCCTTTTGTCTCAATTCTAAGGGCTCTCACTCAAAAATGGGCTCCACGCCACAAATGTTTGTAGCAGTTTTCACTCTGAACCCTTAGGGGAAAGGTTCAGCTCTGGGATTTTGGACTCTATTGCAAGCCTTTTATTAAATCCTTGCTGCACGCTTCTCTTGCTACAAGTGATCAATGGAATCTTTAATCTATCAGTTGCATATTAGCTTAAACTATGAATGGTTTATTAGCTCCATCTGCTGGATGAAACTTTTCCCTTTCTTTATCTGGAGTAAAAACCCTCACTAATTAAAGGAAATTGTTATTCTGGTCACTGCTTTTTTAATCTCTCACCACTCTTAGGGTGTGTCTAGACTACCTAGTTTTGTCGACAAAAGTGGACTTTTGTCGACAAAACTATACCAGCGTCTACACTACCACTGAGTTCTGTCGACATAACGTCGACAGAACTCAGCAGTTTTGTCGACGCTGGTATACCTCATTTTATGAGGCATAACACCTTCTGTCGACAGAACTCTGTCGACAGAAGGTGTTATTGCCTGTAACACTGCGTCCAGACTACGGAGTTCTGTCGACAAAGCAGCTTGCTTTGTCGACAGAGCTCAATGTGTCTGGAGGCTCTTTGTCGACGGAAGTTTTGTCGACAGTATCTGTCGACAAAACTTCCGTCAACAAAATGCGGTAGTCTAGACGTACCCTTGGTATTTCTATAGTATCCCCATATTCAATCTCTACATTTTAGAAACCTGAACATTTTTTTCTTTTGATGTGTTATACATTTGCCTCTCTTTTAAATAATGAGGAAAGGATTCCCTACAACCCATTTTCATTACCTCTACTGTACTTGCCAGTAACATTCAAATATCTGCTACATACAATATGCCAGTTTGTCAGCTTATCACTGCTGTCACACCATGCTTGTTGCCATACTTTCTCACCTTCTTCAGATCCCTATTCAAGAATCCCCTCTTCTGTAGTGACTACAAGAAATCAGTCAACTACAGTCTCTAGTCTGGCACCCTGGGGACCTGACTGGTGTTGAACCAGAAAACTGCTGAATCATGGAAGGTCAATATTACCTAGCAGCATTACCAACACTTCCGCTGCTTACTGGACTCCTAGAAAACATTTAGGGGTAAATTAGAGCTAGGTGACAGCACAGGACCCTGAAAGCCAGAACTGGTGTCTGTAAACAAACTTTATATGACCACAGGAAATTTAGCAACACCCATGGTCAGTGGACATCTGGCTAACTAAAATCATGCTGCACCACAGATGTTGCTGGACCAGAGAGTGCTGCACTTTAGAGGTTCAACCATTAGTAAAGGTTTGGTTTCATGTGGACTTAGGTGATGATAGGTACATTTTAGAAAAGAGTGATAGCTGGTATCTTCAAGAACCATCAAGCTGTTCAATATCTATCACCACATGAAATTATTTTCACTATCCTTGTTCTCTCTCTTTCCTTTTTCTCCTCTTCTTGTCAGTCTCACTTTTATATCTTGTTCTCTCACAAACATCACTGAAACTGTAATTAAAACTAGAGGCTAAAATGCCAGTAATGAATTTTTGCATTGTATGTGCCGGAATCAAAGTGTGGATGTTATAGAGTGTGCATACAGCATCATGATGAGTTTTGTGGACTCTGTTGTAAGTATAACTTTTTTGCACAGGCAGCTCATTATTTTAAATCCCAGAATTCCTTTTTCTAAAAGGACACTCCCTACAAAGCTATTTAGGTTTTAGCCTCGCCTTTATAACGTAAATATCTATATTCCTGCTCAGAGAAACATCATCAGAAACTCCAAGAACATAGTAGGAGAAGAATTTTCAAACCTTTGTAAAGCAAGACAAATATTTTAAGTATAGTGGCTTATTAAATCTTTTTTTTTCTAACATTTGTGGCAGGACTATATGAGACAGTAAGTGATTAGTGCATTTATCAAATGTTTCAGCTTTGCCCTTGTGTTTAATCATCCACAAATGCCATTTATTGCCTCATTTACATCTCATTCAGGATGTTTAAATAAATTGAATGTAATGTATGTTATTTAACTGGTTCTTCTTCCTTTTTTGAAATATTGGAATAGGAAGATGAGCTTTTTGGGCCATTGGTGTTTGTTTTTGCGTTTGCATTTACCCCCGTGTATGTTTATTGTGTTGGTAGAGTCTGAGATTGTTTCACAAATTCATATGAAGCAATAAATATCTCCTTAGAAAATGTTTGAATATTAAAATCATTCCCAGAAGATGCTTGTTGTCTAGACAATGCAAAACTCATTTACCATTTTTCCCCCTACAGGCTGACCAATAAACTCTGCATGCTCTATGTAGTAAATGCCTTTGCCTAGTGCAGTGGGACTTTAAAGCAGACTGACCTGATGATTGTGCAGTGGTTATTTATGGCTGCCTGCCCATCAGTGAAATGTACATGACAAATGCTCTTCTCTTTAATATAGCAAATTGTGTCTTGAACTTGCAGATATTGATTGTCTCTGTTGTCATGCTGCTCTTAGAGGCAGGAAGATCCTCATCTTCCTCAGCCTCAGGCTTGGAGAATCAGATCTTTCAATACATCGATCTTCATCAAAATGAATTTATTAAGGTAAGAGCTATCCATATGATCAAATACCTACAGTGCAGAAGTGAAGTAATAAAGACCAACAATGAGACCATCTTCTTTTCTATTCTAAGGGGAAAATACAGAGCAGGCTTCCATACTTCCACAAGGCTGCAGACACACCTGAAATACCATGTTTCACTGTGCAGCAGCGTTAGGCAAGGGAAAGTCTATGGTGAGGACTCAGCACCCTTCTTGTGTTCCATGTAGCAGAGATCAGTGGTGGCTTTGCACGCAGTGCCATGCAACATGGGAATACAGGTGGACTGTGGCCAATACTAATAGATCCATGCATAACATGCAAATCCATACAGAGCCAAAACCTTGCATAAAGGGGAGAGGCAGGCTACGTATGCTGTTTCTTCACTCACCTTGCCATGGAGACGTGCCAGCTCTGTATTGATGACTGGATGGGAGGAACAGAGTGGGGGAGGGAACCTGACGGGTCTTTTCCCCTGTGATGTTTCTGTGCATTTTTGTGAGTGCCTTCCAAGGGATAGAGCAAGCAGGTTTCCTTGGAGGTAGGAAGGATAAGGGGGGTCCTGCAGGTAGGGAGGTTGCGGAGCTCCTCCAGCGGTGCAATGGATAAGGTACCTGCCTCGGGAGCAGGAGTCTGAGTGCCTGAGACCGGCCCACCCAGGTAGCAGCCTGTTGGTCTGGGCTATGATCTTTTCTCCAGGATTTAGCCTTTCCTGGTGTGCTTTTTGGGAAAAATGTAGGGATCAATTTGCATTGGGGAAAAAAGAACAGAGTGAGCTATGATTCATTTCTGTCAAATTATGAACACACTTGGTTAGAATTGCTCAATAGTACATACTTGTTATAAGAGTGGGCATGCCTGAAAGTAGATGAGGATTGTCTAGACAAATCATGCCAAGATGCAATTACCCAGTTCAAAGTAACAGCCTTTAATACTACTCTGGGCCCTCTCTACATTCCCCTAGAGTGAGGTTTACATCCCATGATGACAGCTAGCTTAGAATTATCTAAAATGGATAGAAGATGGAAAGACAGATCATCCTTCCCATGCAAAATCTCCTAAAACACCTTATCTTTAAGGAATCTACAGGGGCACGCTCTGTTTGCTCTGGAACTCCATGTGTACTCTGTGTCAACAAGGCACAGCACAAGGGACAAGCAGAAAGGTAATCAGATGTGTGGGGGTCTCCTGATGGAATCAAGAGGGCTGTTTCCATGAAGCTCTGGGTGAGGTAATCAGATGATTCTGACCACTCTGACATTAGCAGCAGAGCTGACATTTTAGCAAGAGATAAAGTCATCACCTGTCCTGACATTTCTTTGCCAGATAGAACAGGCACAGAAGCAACAGCTCCCGCATGGCCATGCCATTAAAAAAAGCTGAAAATGGGTATCTGGTTCTTATACAGTCCCCCACTGACACATTTAATTGCATACCTGGCTTCCTTTGCAGATCCTTAAGGAATGGGTGGCAGTGGAAAGTGATTCTGTTCAACCACGGCTAACACAAGAAGTGACACGAATGATGGAAATAGCAGCAGCCAGGCTTCAAGCTTTAGGAGCCACTGTTGAGTTAGCACAGCTGGGTACCTCCCAGGTACCTGTTTATCATTGCTATCATTTGTATTTTAACTGTGAGTTCTATCTCCTGGAACTGATGTAATGTATGGATAATTCTCATTGGTAGGAAGGAGAGAGACACCCTTTGTCACATGGATACAGAGGCCTTCTCACTTCTAAGCACAGGATCCTCCCCTTTAAGCACACTTCCTCCCCTTTCTTAAAAATAGGCACTATATTAGCAGTTCTCCAGTCATAGGTTATGACGCCTGATTTGACAGAGTCACTACAAATCCTTGCTATTGGACTTGCAATTTTATATACTGGTTCCTTCAATATTCTTGGATAGAGATTATTCACACACCTTCCCATGTAGGGTGCTATCAAAGACTAAATAACCTAACTAAAATTTGCAGGTGGACAAGCCATGATCTGCCAGATAGCAGTGGACATTTTCCTTCAATCATATAAAAGGGATTGTACATCTAGTTGAAATTTCACTGGAGTATCCCTGTTGGGAATAACATTTCTCCAGTATAAATCTTCAAAAACATAGAGATTTCTTCCAGAGGAACCTATGACAGAGTCTGGTGATAGATGCAGAAATGAGTACAAAAACAGCTCCAATATCAAGTTCCATTCGTGTAGAAATTCCTTCAAGCTAAGCTGTGACCCACATGACATTTCTGACACCAGCTTGTGCTAAATCTTGGCCAGTGTCACTAGAGCACTAATGTTTTTTCCACATTATGAATTCTCAACTCCCATCTTCTCTTAGGTTCAGTCTTCATAGGTGTTGTCTTGAATAGACAATTAATCTACAATTGTGAACTGTGACAGATCACAGCAATGTGTCCTTTCTACTAGCACTTCTTGCAAATGGCCTGTTGTGTCCAGCAAGCCTTCTCAACATTCATAGTTTGTGCATGGTGGCCACACAGAAATTCCATACATGTCCATAGTTTTCTGTCTCATGAGTTCATGAGATGAACTTCTCAGTTCATGGCAAAGTCTAAAGAATCCTCTGCAGTTTCCATTGCAATAGCCACTGCAGCAGCCTTCTTGAATGTAAGCCCTGATACAGTAAAACAACTTTTTCAGGACCCGGTCATTGCACTAGTTGGTCATGTAGGGGATCACTTAATATTTGTCTGAACTGACAACATTTTTAGAGCAGCAATAAACTTCTCTGCTGACTCTCCATTTCCCTGATGTCTGATGAAACTGATAATATGGGTAGGAAAAAGTGTTCCTACATTGTGTGAATTGTGGCATATGTGGCAGTTCTGGGCACAATTGTTGACAAAAGATCGTGCAGCAGTCCATATGATTTTGGACTGTTTACTGTCTGTAGGTGTGTAACTCATCATCTGACTGGAATAGAATTGCAAGTAACAAATAACTCAAAATGTCTGAGATATACCACCTATCATTTGCAGTTGTCAAATTCACCAACATTGCCCACACAAGTTGCCATTTCTCTTTTCTGTTGGACATCAAACCTCCTGGACACCTTCTCTGCCACAAGGAAATTCTTTTGTTTGTTTGTTTGTTTGTTTGTTACTGAGCATCTGCACAGATCAATCTGCCTCTTTTTGCCTGCATGTCACTGCTGCAGACTGTAGAATTCTTCCTTTGGCTGTTTTTGGGCTCCCTCTACTGTCCATAGACTCTCTCGGTATGTCTAGAGTGCAGGGTTTTTTTAAAAAAAAGTAGCCTTTTTTTTTAAAATTCCCCTGCATCTAGACTGCTGCCACGTTCTTTCGAAAGGAAATAGAAAGAACACGGCAGTTTTTTCGATCGCAGAAAACCTCATTTTCCGAGGAAGAATGCCTTTTTGCAAAAGTGCTCTTTCGAAAAAAGGCGCTATGTAATGCAAACTTCTTTTTTGAAAGAGAGCATCCAGACTGCCTGCAGCTTGCTTTTTCAAAAGTACTGGTTGCAGTCTAGATGCTCTTTTTTGAAAGAAGCTTTTTTGAAAGTATCTTTCGAAAAAATCTCTTTTGAAAGAGGCTTGCAGTCTAGACGTAGCTTCTGTGCAGACTAAGCTGCTGCTAAGTCTGCCAGCTTGCACGTGGTCTGTCAATATGATTGGTTACTTCTCCCTCACTTCTTTGTTTCAGAAGCTCTGAGTAGCAATCTTTTCTTTAAGTTTTTAATTGCAAGTTCCTCCTCTCTCTCTGAGTGGTTTGCACTCTCCCAGTAGCAAAAGCAGTAGTCTGTCACCTTGCGCCTCTGCATGATTGTTCCCTCTTTTCACAGTATTATTTCCTGACTTTTTCTGCTTGTCACTAATGCAGTAGGAACACTGGACATGCACACAATAGAAATCCTTCATTGCCAACAAGAGTGCCATTTACAGGAGATTTAGGGGGCAGTAGCCCCCCTCCTAAGTTTGAACCCCTGGATTTCATACATGAGGTCTGCTTAAAGCTGCATACCCTGGCTTCAGGTCTTAAATGTAACAGAGTTTGAACTACTTGCAGCTTTACCTTTGGAGCACGGAGTTTGTTATAAAAAGAGGGAGACAGGGTGATTAAGAATAACAAAAGGCTGGGCATTCAAGTAATTGAAGGATTGTTAGATCATCATGAAAACATTGCTGAGTACTTCACTTAAAAGATAGGGGAAAGGAGAGTAGGAATGAGTGTTGTGCTGCAGTGATCTGCGTTTTGATCACTGCTGTTAAACTTCTCATAAATGTTCTTGAAAAAGGGGTAAACAGTGACTAATCCAAAGGGATCTCACAAAATTGGGAGACTGGGCAACACAAGGGCAGATGGAATTCAGTGTTAAGTGCAACATAATGCATATGAGAAAATATAATCCTAACTATAGATACAAAAATGATGGGGTCTAAAATAGCAATTACCACTCAAGAAAGAGATCTTTGTGGATAGTTCCCTGGAAACATCTGTTCAATGTGCAGTTCAGTCTAAAACTAAAAAGCTAGCGGAATACTGGGAATCATTAGGAAAGGAATAGATAATAAGACAAAATACCATGTTGCCTCTACATAAAGTCATTTCATGCCCACATCTTGAATAATGTCTGCAGATTTGGTCACCTTATCTAAAAAAAAAGATATATTGGGTTTAGAAAAGGTACACAAGAGCAACAGAAATGATTAGGGGTTAAGGAACAGCTTCCATATGAGGTGAGATTAATAAGACTGGGACTTTTCATCTTGGAAAAGAAATGACTAAAGGGTAGGGGGATATGTTAGAAGTCTAGAAAATCATGTGAATGGTGTGGAAAAATAGAATAAGGAAATGTTATTCATTCCTTCACTAACATCACAGAAGAAGCTGACCCAAGTAAATGTATAAGCAGCAGATTTAAAATAAACAAAATAGGTGACGGGATGGATCATGATGATTGTCTCTTCTGTTTATTCCTTGTGAAGCATCTGGCATTGGCCACTGTTGGAAGACAGGATACCGGGCTAGAAGGACCTTTAGTCTGACCCAGTATGATCATTCTGATGTTCTTATATAGAGCCCAAATGTTTCTGCCCTGTGCTGTAACCCACTAGACCCCACTCCTCTCCCAGAGCTGAGATAGAGCACATAAGTCCTGACAGGGGTTTGTCTCTCTCTCCACAGAGTTAATAACAAAGTAAGGATATACATTAAAATGTTAAGGTTAACCAGTGTCCCTTAAGTGACTTGCCACAAAATGGCAGAATATGCTAGTGTTAGAACTGAGTGGGTCTAATATTTATTTATTTAATTTTCTTTCTTTTATAGAGGAATTAGATACAGTGCTCCTGTCAGCTAACTGCTACCTTGTCTGCCAAAAAGTAGAGTTTTCCAATGCCTTACTAGCCCCTGAAAAGAGATGATGTGTGTGTGGGGAAGGGCGGATGTGTCGTCCCCCCCCCACATTTGGTGCTTGGCTTATACTGAGCATGCTCAGGAACACTGCTAAAGCCTCTGTCCTCAGTTCATTCCCGTCATGCTCTCACTCTCTTTCCTCCTCCCCTCATCATGGCATACACAAATTGCCCCCCCACACCAAAATCTGAAATGGCACCTCTGATTGCCAAATGCAGTATTTGGACCCAGCAGAAAAGGAGATACGGACACAGAGAAGCTCATTTAAGCATGTTTAGTTGTCATGGAAAACTTTATTGTTCTTGAATCAAAACTGAAACCAGCCCAAAATTAAAGGTTTGCACTGGGGAGGAGGAGAGTGCTCAAACATTTGAAGGGACAGGGCATCACTTTTCTTTCATACTGTAGGAAGGAGAAAATACTAAACCTCTTACAAATTCCCTCTCCCACCAATGTAATGCAATGGCTACCTTCCTTTCACACAGACCAAGTGTACCTGTTAGTGCAATGCTGTCTGCAAACTCTGCTCCTCTTCCTTTTAAACAGAGATGCTCCTTTTGTGAGCCATCCAGTCTTCTCTCGCCTGTGCAGAAACCTGTCTTGTGTGGTAGTAAACAGCCGTGTTAACTTGAGACCTTAGCCTGTTTTCAGAATGGTGTGCAACAGCTGCCAGTGCTACCTCCCATATATTTCATTTTTCAGTAGATTCCACAAGCCTGGAACTTCAATCTGTCCCACAACCAAACTCAAATGTGGTTCCTGTGCAGCTTTTCATTCATTCTCATGTCACACATGCACAGCTTTCTATCCTCTCCATTACAGGCTGAGTTTGGGAGGAAACTGAAGGGCCTATCAAAGAGTGGACCTAGCTATCATTGTATTGCAGTAAAACATTAGATGAACTCTTCAGTTGCACCTCAGAAGCTCAATAGCTGGGGTGAAAATCCTAGTTTCTGAATATGCTTTAAAGAAGGGGTGGAAATCAAATTTGACAACCTACTTTGATAAGGGTTATTTAAATATGGGCAATTCCAGTTCTGGTTTGTAGTGACTTGCATGTTCTCATAAAGCTTTGGATTTTCTTTATTACTGTGTAAATGTTCCTTCACAGCTGCCTGATGGCCAGAGCCTTCTGTTGCCTCCTCTGATTCTAGCAGAACTTGGTAAAGATCCACAAAAACCCACTGTGTGTTTCTATGGACACCTGGATGTACAGCCTGCCAAAAAAGAAGATGGATGGGAAACTGACCCTTACACACTGACTGAATCTGATGGTCTGTACGGGTTTATTATTCTTGCACAAGTATTTGTATGCATGACACTAAACTATGGAGTGGGAAGAGGTTGGGTCAAAACTCAGTCCTGGTGTAAGAAAGTTCTGCTCCTATGGAAATCTCTGGAACAAATTCAGGGGAAATGGGCCTACAGGAGCTGTGCTGTCATTGCTTGAGTCCTGCTTGTGACTAGACAGTATCACTGGACACTATGAAAGAGCCAGCAGGAGTTAATCAGGGTTGGTTGTTAGGAGCAGGCAAGCAGGTCAGTCATCTTGATTGCAGACTTTCAGTGGGCACTGTATTGTTGTGTTGCTTTGGGCTTTTGAATTTGTGTGTGTGTGGGTTGGTTGGTCTTTTGTTCCTTTGGTTGTTGCTGTATTTTGATTGGCTGACTGGTTTTGTTTTTGTTTTGGCTCCATTGATTTGTTAGCTGTGGGCTACATGGGGGTTTTGTTGGGGTTTTTTGTTGGTTGTTTGGATGGTGGTTTGCTCAGACACTAGTGGGCTAGAAACAATTTCTGCCTTGGCCGACAAAACCAATCAGGGCATGTTCCTGCTTAGAAATACCATGCCTCAGAAGAGGATGATACAGAATGAATAGTAGCTTCCTCCCATTTTGCTGTGCCTATCCTATACCACAGATCTATAGAGCTCTGCCAAATGACCTTCTAGGGGGCTGACTCTGGTGGAGTGGGATGCATGGAACTCGGTCATATTCCCTCCCTTAATTTCATGCTCCCAAGAGAAATCAAACAGATCTCAGGCAATGACTTCATTGTAGAAAAGGAAACCATGAATCCAAGATCACAGTAAGTCAGTAGAAAAGTAACTCAGAAACCTGACTCCCATTCCTGTTCTCTGACCACTAGACCACTCCATCTCACTTTTTGGGACCAATTCCCATCAAATTTACCAGATAACTCTATTGATTTCAATGGGAGTAACTCTGGATTTATACCAATGTACATGAGAGAATATTCTAGTCCTTCATGAATGTATGCAAATGTATCAATCTGAAAAACTTTGTTAATAATACCCCAGGTTGTATCCCTGGATGCATATATAGGACTTCTAGGTAGTGTGCGATCTCTACACACATCACTTCTGAGTGATACCATCCCTATAGTTCTTTTTGTGGGCTTCATGCATGTTGTGTCAAACTGTATGTACAGAATTATTGTGGTCTGGACAAACTTCTGTTAAGAACTAAAATAAAACTAGCACATAGACTTGAGCCACAAATAAAGACTGGAACATAGAGTCCTCATAGGTCTAGTGCAGCGGTTCCCAACCACTGGTCCATGGACCTCTGTTGATCCGCAACCCGCTGGCTGCTGGGCCACAGCAGCTGCTGGAGCTCAAGTCGGCTGTTTGTGGTGGCTCAGCTCTGGCAGCAGTGGTGGCTGAGGCACGGTAGGATGAGCTGGAGCAGGAGGTGCCTCCCTCCCTCTTCCCGCCTCAGTGATTGGGGAGAAGTACGTGAGGAGGGAGGGGACATGAAGGAGGAGGGAGCATGTGCCCCGCCAATGGCCGCTCCCCCTGCCCACGTGGCAGTAACTGCCATGCTCCCTCAGGAGGCAGCCTTGCTCTGGGGAGTCAAGGAATTTTGGGTGGGTAGGGGTGCAGCAGCGGCACACTCTGGGACGCAGATTTCTTTTCAACCCTTTCCCCAGATGCTAAGGGAGTGAGGAGAAAGTTCTTGCATTCTGTGCATGCCTCTCACACGTGGCTGGTGAAGGGAGCTCACCAGTCAGGTGTGAGAAGAATGCACTGAATACAAGTACTTTCCCCTCACTCCCTCAGGGTCTGGAGAAATGCATGAAAAGCAAGCTGTGTCCCGGAGTGCACGGCTGCTGCCCCCCTTCCCAAAATTCCACCCTTGTGGGGAGTGCAGAGTGGGGTGGGGGCAAAAGGGTATTGACTGAGGTCATGGTGGGGTCATGGGGCAAGAGAGTGTTGACATGGTCTACAGGGGTCAGAAGTTAAAAGGTGAAAGGGCATGGGGCATAGGGGTGAGGGTCAAAGAGTATTAGGCACTAGAGAGCAAGGGGCTAGGGCTACGTCTAAACTGCAAACCTCTTTCAAAAAAGAGCATCTAGACTACAACCAGTACTTTCGAAAAAGCAAGCCGCTTTTTTGAAAAAGAGCACCCAGACAGTCTGGATGTTCTCTTTCGAAAAAGCACAGTTTGCATTACATAGTGCCTTTTTTCAAAAGAGCACTTCCGAAAAAAGGCGTTCTTCCTCATGAAATGAGGTTTTCCATGGTCAAAAAACTGCCATGTTCTTTCGGTTTACTTTCGAAAGAAAGTGGCAGCAGTCTAGACACAGGGGAAGTTTTTTCGAAAAAAGGCCACTTTTTTGAAAAAACGCTGTACTCTAGACACACCCTGGGTTGGGGCTTGGCTGTCAGGTAACATTTTTTTGCATATTCATTATTTGCATAATGAATATACAAATAAAATGTTACCAGTCCGCCAAAATTTTGTGAATGGGTTTGCCATCCCACAGCATAAAAAAGATTGGGAACCACTGGTCTAGTGCATTAACTCTACTGAGAAACACACCTCCATTTAAAACAGTTCTGTAAAACCCTGGTGCCTTTTACATCAATGGGCATTTTGCAATTGACTTCAGTAGAGGCAGGATTTTGCCCATTTATAGCTGAAGCAGCAACAGAGATTCCAAAGTTTGATATTATCTTTTTATCTTTAAAGGAAATCTTTATGGGCGTGGAGCATCAGATAACAAAGGACCTGTCTTGGCATGGATAAATGCAGTGGAAACATTCAAAGCACTAAAATTAGTAGGTGGCAAAGAGAAACATTTTTATTATTATTCCCGTGGCACTGTGCAGGAGTGAATTTCAGATGTAACCTCATCCCCCAAATTGGTTTCCTATATTTAGAATCGTTAGTATATTTTTAATGTTGTTTCCAAGCCTGCTCCAAGATCATTTTGTGTTTGAGTCTTTCATAAATTGTCCAGGCTCAGTGTAATGCAGATCATGCAACCATCCTTGTCCTTCCTTATAGAAGGCACCAAGGAAAAAAGCAAGCATTAAACTGATTTGCTACTCACAAAGACCATGTTCTTGAAAGCTTTTTAAAATGGTAAAAGAACTGACTTTAAAGCAAGAATTGGCCATGCTTAGTTTTGCACCTTTCTGTTCTGCTCTTGGCTGCAAGTTATCATCAGAATGTGTGTATCCATGGTCAGGACCAGTGTGTCTATTCAGAACAGTATATTCTTTCAATAGCATGTGGGCTTCAGCAAATAAAACAGCTAGCTTTCAAATATATGAATTACGTCTTAAGTTATTTACTGTCCAGCTTAAGATAGTTGTAAACTGATTGGGTTTCTGGCTGTTTTTCTACAATGTGCTAATCTTTCAAATCAGTAATGGCCAGCCAGGTTGGCATTTTAACAAGTGAATCAGATAAGGCTTATCCTCCTGAAACCTCTTGCTAGCAAAAGTCAAAGCTCATGATACAACATATGTGCACAGTTTATTCCTGATTTCTTTGTGATTGGTTGACAAAGCATTCGGATTTATCCAATTTCTCAGGCTAAAATTATCCTTGACACAAGTCGGTTAAAGTCCAGGGATTTGTAATGGGGTTAAATTTGAAACTTGAAGAAATGCAATGTGATGTTTTCTGTTTAACTTAAAACACAGTTTCCAATAGTCTGAAAATGAACCACAGGGAACACTGCGCTTAGTTTTTCTTTTTTCATATGAGCACTTCTAACTCGCACTGGCCATTGATGAATTTTGCTTGCATTGAAGATTTTTCAAATTATCCCTATACTGAAGTAATGGTGCAACTTTGCTGTTGCTAAGGGCACTACAAATACAGCTGTAGACTGCCATTTGGAATTTTTACCACCGTATTATCTAATCCTGCAGGGTTAGAGAACACAATTGTAACAGTGCCAGCAAAGGGCCTATGCTGACAGCTCCACCTTTGCTAGCATTGCAACAGTGAGAGATATAGAGGAAAACTTCAGTGAAGATGCAGCCGGTATGTTAGGGAGCAAGAAAAAAAGGGGAAGAGAGAGAAATAAAGAAAAGAGAGAAAATTAATAAGGAAAAAAATGTATATTCCAAGATTGCCATTTCTAGTAGGATGGGTTGTTGTTTATTACTTATATTACTGTAGTGCCCAAGAGCCCTAGTTATGGACAAGGACTGCATTGTGCTAGGCAAATATTGAACATAGAAGTTACTCGCTGCTCTAAAGAGATGACAATTGAATTAGCCCACTTGGGCTGCCCTCCTTACCCCTTCCCTCAGTAGCCTTGATTATTAGACTTAATGATTGAAATGCCAGTTTCTTACCTAGGCTTCGTTGATTTTTACTTAGGACATGCCAGTAAACTTCAAGTTCATTATTGAAGGTTTGGAAGAAGTGGGATCTCCAGGACTAGAGAAATTAATTAAAGACAAAAACCAGCTTTTTTTCTCTGACGTTGACTATATTGTGATTTCGGATAACCTTTGGCTTAGCAACAGGAAGCCAGCCCTCACCTATGGGACGCGGGGAAGTATCTGCTTCTTTGTGGAGGTACAAGAGAAAATGGCATTGATTTATTTGGGTTGGATCCTTGGGTGGAGGATGCCAATGTGCTCTATAAATATGTGTTTGTGTGCAGAGGGAGAGACTGAGTGCCAGTACAGACCCTTTATCTACAATCTCTGCCGCTTCCACACTCTCCCCATGCTACTTTCATCAGCTCCATTCACTCTCTCTCTTATCCCAAATCCAGTCCTTTTCCTGCTCCCCCTCAACTTCTCCTCAGCCACAATTTCAATTCACTTTCTCTCTCTCCCCTTACAACCTCCTCATCGCCTGCTGGGTGCATCTGTGCTGCAGCTCAGGGAGATGTACGTGCACTAGCTTTGATCAAGTTGTTACCCTAAAAATAGAAGTTGTTGCCTCAGGGTGCAGGCAGCAGCACTGGCTAGCTGCCCAAGTACAACCCCAGCCCCACTGCTGCCCTGCCCCTGTGTGGCAGGGCAGGCACTGCTCAGTGCAAGATGTCCACAAGCAGAATGCACAACTGAGTGGGCACGGTTGGTTGAGAAGCCACGCTAAGGTTCTGAAGCCACTGACCAGAGTACATGGTACATAGTAAGATACAAGCCACTGGGAAATATAGGGAGGACATGAAAATAAATTCCCTCGCTGGAAGTTTTTGTGTCAGTAAGTAAGAGAAAAGATACTTTCTTTGCCCCGTCCTTCAAGCTAGTACCTAGAGAAGCAAATCAAAATCTACGTCAATCCCACTTGGAAAAAGAATAAAATTAGTTATTTTGACTCAAAGCAAATCTCTCAGTATCCTAAAAACAACTCTTTCAAGCCATGCAGAAGAATGATTCCATCAAAACAGCAAAAATGATCCATATCTGCTTCTACAAGTCGGACGATCCTTGTCCTGTACCCTCCAGACCTGACTGGTCCCAGATAAGGGATTTTTTCGGATCAGGGAGGTCATTTCTGGCCCCACTGCTGCAGGCTCCCCCTATCCTTTTCCCACAGGCTTCCTCATTTCCCAGGCAGCCCAGCTGAGCTGTGCATTGGCTCCTGGCTCCCTCTGAAGCCCAGCTGAGCCATGCCTTGATTCCACCCCCCCAAAACCCTCTGCATAGCCACCGGGCTCCCAGCCCTCCCACCCATGCCTATAGGCAAACTCGGCAGCCACCTACGGCGCCAAGTTAAATGGGGCACCAAATTCCCTGCCACTTCCCCTTCCCCTAACGCCAGGCGTCAGCCCCGGAGGAGGAGCGTGGAGGCTTCCCTGCATTGCAGGAGGGGTGAGTCAGCCCTGGAGGAGGAGCACAGGGAGTTGGCCCCAAGGGAGGTGGCACGCGGGTGTTTCCCCGTGCTACGGGAGGGGGGATCAGTCCCAGGGAAGGCACATGGGGGGGGGGGTTTCCCTGAGCCACAGGAAGGGGATCGGCCCTGAGGAAGGCACTCACCAGCTTCCCCTACACTGCAGGGGAGGGGGTTGGCACCGGGAGGGGTGCGTGCCGGCTTCCCTCGGGGGGGAGGATCCTGGGAGGAGGCGGGTGCAGGGGACTCTCCCCCCCCACTGGCTCCCTGTTCCCTCTCCCCATTCCCCTGCCACAGAACTCCATCCCCAACCCCTTCTCCCCAGCGATGTGGTGGTAACAGCAGTTAAAGCAGGATAGTGTAATGGACTATTTGGGATTTGTAATAATAAAAATTATAATTAACATTTGTAATGCATTTTTATTTGAAATCGTACTGAAATATCATCTAGCTGTCCTGTACAAATCTATTCGGAAAATTTTGTGTGTCTATTTTAATCTGATCTCAGAAACATTGGTTGGACCGACAGACAAACCGAATAATTATGCCTGTTTAAATAAATATTCTTAAAAACATTAAATGGAAAACAGGGGCAAAATGTTTCCCAGTTTACCAAAAACCTCAGTCTATATCTGCCGTTAGGGCGTGGGGGGATCCCTGATTGCATGGTTCACCTACGGCGCCAGTGGCTGGCAGCTAGTCCAGGCCCACCCCTGTCTGCAGCACATTTGGACTCTGATCCTGGAACATGGCCCACGGATATTGCCAGACCAGAGAGTTCTGGTTTTTAGAGGTGCAACCTGTAGATGGCAGAACAGAATGATGCTTGGAGCTCAACCTGTCTCATGCTCTGTCACAAAGCCATTAGATTATCTTCCATTTGTCAGAAGCAGACCTGAGACCTTTTCTAGCCCTGAAGGACTTTCCTAGAAGTACCTAGCATACTTCTCTTTAGGCAATACATCAACAATAAAACTGGGATTACCCAAATCCCTGTGGAAATCCAGTGATCTGAAAGAAATAAAACCATGTTCTTTGCATGTCAACATGTTACTTCTCTGTCACACAGGTACAAGGTGGTGAGAGAGATCTTCATTCAGGAACTTTTGGAGGCATCATTCATGAACCAATAACTGATCTAATAGCTCTGCTTGGTAATGCTGCATCTCATATTCCTAGATGATAGCTAGTTAGTAATGGATCAGGGTCAACCTCAGAAAGTTCAGTGGTTCAGCTTAGTTTGTGTAAGCATTCTAACATTTGGATGATTGTATGTGAGTGTTTTTTTGTGAAGTTGGCCTATTGACATCAGTAGAACAGTGCAGGTGCTTAAACCTACACCTGGTAAAGCGCCTTGCTGACTCCAGGCCTATTCTGGAATTAAGTGTGGCCCTCTACAATACAAATACTTCCCACTATTTCCATCAATTCTAGCAGCCCTAGAGTAGATGGCCCACCATTACTTACATTCTTTCTAGCACCATATTTATTAGACTTGCTCCAGGCTTCTGAAATTGGATAAATTTTATGGTAATTCTTATATGAACTGAATGATCTTTTCATGTGAGCCACTAGCTCCGTGGAAGACTGAACAGCAAACAGAGGGTTTCCTAGTAAATTAGAAAATACCCTGTCAGATTACTGTGTGATGGTTAGGGGTCATCTCATCTCCTTTTTTGTATTGTTAAATGGGAATGAGTGACTTAACTAGTTGCGACTAAGTCTTGGTATAGAAAAGAGGGGTACAGAAATGGTTAAGAACTACTACCCTACATTAAAGAGAAGATTATGCATGTTGGTATCTGTTTTGTAGATAGCCTAGTGGATATATCAGGTCGTATTCTGATCCCTGGAATCTATGATGATGTTTCTATCCTTACGGAAGAGGAAAAGAAGTTGTATGAATCCGTTGAATTTGATGTAGAGGGACATAAAAATATTAGTGGTGTGAAAAAATTCCTGTATGACAACAAGGTACAGTAAAAACTTTATTAATGGTTTGTAGAAAGAGTTTAAATGACCAATTTATTTTCAATGATTATTCCAAACTTCAAGGTTTTTCAAGCAAACTAAAAGACTCTAATGACTTAACTCAAGCAGGAAGTAGAAAAAAATGAAATATTTGACCGGTCAAAAGAAATACCTGGAGGAAAATAATCTAAAATGAGAGTTAATAAAAAGTAATAATACAAAATAACTCCCCACCACCACCACATAACTCAACAACTTCCCAAATCAAACAAAAACCATATATTAGAGAACCAAAGTCGATGACATAGTATCTTCACGTATTAGTATAATTACTTCACCCATGTTGTCTAATATGCTGGGACCAATACAGCTACAGAAACACTGCATTCATAAAAACCACTCAGGCAAGATCATAGGGAGTAAATTGTATTGGGCTTGGAAAGTAGATGGCAGCAGAAAAGTTGGTATAATTTGGAGATAGTTACATTTAATTAGTTTAGGTTTTGAAGTCTGAAGCTTTTGACAGAATTTTAAAATAACAATACCAATAACGCCCAGCAGCTAAGAACTAGTCTACCCAAGTATTACTATCTCAGGTAGAGATGTGACTTTTTTTTTAATTACCACTATATTTATGTTGGCTTAAAGCCCTAGCATATGGAGTTATTCAAGTATATAAGTGCCTTATATTGGTATAGCTTATTCCACTTCCTGAACAAAAATTAAAGCTATGTTGTTTAAAGCACTTTTATACTGATATAACAGGGTCCACTTTAACCTATCAGTATCATTAGAGCAGTACAAATTGTTTTTTGCATCCGCTCCAGAGAATGAATGGGATTGTTTGCTGATCACTGTCCATTATTCCTTCCCTTATTTAGACATAAATTGATCATTATTAAAAGCTTTCTTCCCTTCTTCACCATCAGAGCTTGTCCATTCTTGTTAGCATAATTTGAACTGATGAAAGAACAGGGTATGGAAAGATGCTGAAAAATCCTGTAAACTGAGTAGGCCAGCAGTCCTGAGGTGAGTGGCCAGGGAAATCGGACAGGTTTTTAGTAGCTGTTTGGAGAATACATAATAATGATCCCTGTTCTAGGCTAATGCGCTCCTTTGCCATTGGCATCAGAATGTATTGGCCCAGGATATAACTACATTGCAAACAAGAAGCACACTTGAATTATCATTACAAAATTTATAAACAATCAGCATACAGTTAATGGAGACATTGTCACTATTCACGATACTTCTATAAATTCAAAGTAATGGCTAAATAATCACTACATAAACCAGTTGGTTGTTGGAATTTAAAAAATAAAAATGAACTCCTAATGCTATTTTCCTTTTTAGTTCATTATTTTTATTATACACTTTAACCTCCAAGACAGTCTTGTCCTGCTATTTTTTCACGCCTGCTCTTACTGTCACCAGAGTTATACATGAACAACTTTCCTCTTCCATATATCCGCATGCTGTAGGCAAATGTTGACTAAAAGAAGTATCAGTGTTTACATAGAAAGACCTTTACCTAGCATCAAAAATCAATCAGCTTTATATTGAAGAAGTGATCAAGCCCAAATTTTAGCAAGATATTTAACTTTTTCAGTAGATTATGTGAATTTTGAATTGCTCTGGCATTGTCACTTTTAATTTTGTTTTATTTGTTTGTGATATTATAAAGGAGGAAATACTTATGAACATGTGGCGGTACCCCTCTCTCTCTATTCATGGGATTGAAGGAGCTTTTCATGAACCAGGAATAAAAACAGTGATACCCATACGAGTAATAGGGAAATTTTCAATCCGGCTAGTCCCTCACATGAACATTTCAATTGTAGAACATCAGGTAATACTGTCACACTTCAACTTTTGATCAGTTTTATGCATGCTCCGTTCCGGATAATTTTAGAGATCCCTCCAACAATTAAAATGTGTAGCCAGAATAATGGCCTGTATCTTTCCCTTAAGTAGCTGTTTATGGGCATGGGAGTGAAAAAGTGACCAGAACTTTAACAGGATTAAAAAAAGAGCTAGTTAAATTCATGGAGGTTAGGTCCATCAATGGCTATTAGCCAGGATGGGTAGGAATGGTGTCCCTAGCCTCTGTTTGTCAGAGGCTGGAAAATGGATGACAGGAGAGGGATTGCTTGATGATTACCTGTTCTGTTCTCTCCCTCTGGGACATCTGGCATTGGCCACAGTCAGAAGACAGGATCCCGGGCTAGATGGACCTTTGGTCTGACCCAGTATGGTTGTTCTTATGTTCTTATCTGTGGGTGTGTCTACACAGCAGGGCTTAACTCAAAATAAGCTACGCAAATTGAGCTACGTCAACTGCGTAGCTTATTTCAAAACAGCTTATTTTGTAATAGGGAGCATCTACACAGCACTTATTTCAAAATAGTGCTCTCTTCTTCTGACTTTCCTTATTCCTTGTACAATGGGGGGTACAGGACACAGTCAGAAGTCTTCCAGCTTGACAGTATTTTGACACTATTTCGAAATAACTGCCTGCTGTGTAAGTTATTTTGCCTGCCTGTAGACTAAATTATTTTGGAATAGCGCTAATTATTTTGAAATAGTGTTGCAGTGTAGATGTACTCTGTGAGTGTACCATTTCTGGATATATTATCATTGAAGGATGTCATGAATAAACACTGTTAATGACAAGATGCTTTCCTTTCAGGTGAAACAATATTTAGAGGATATATTCTCTAAGAGAAGCAGTCCAAACAAACTGATGGTGTCTGTGCCATTGAGTGCAGTACCATGGCTTGCTGACATTAATAACACTCTGTATACAGCAGCAAAAGGGGCAATCAAAACAGGTTTGTTATTTCTTTTATTATTATTAACAGAGCCACCATACAATGTCACAGCAACTTGCACAAAGGAAAAGGATATTTCCTAACATCAGTGAAGGTTGTGTTCAGAAAATTATTTAGATCCGGATAATTTTGGAAGAAAGGGTGGTATTTATTCAGTGAATGCACTGTGACATGTTTGCAGTTGGCTTTTCTGGTTATAGACTCCTATCAGTTCACTGAAGAATTTAGATAAAAGTAACTGTTTGCTGCTGCCTTATGCCTCAGGCACACTGAGGAAAACAAAGCTGCCCATTGATGAGAGCCCTGCACAAATCCAAAACTGATATCTGCATTGACATCTGCAAAAATGATCCACAGGTATCTGCATCCACATCCATGCATGCGGATACCTGCAGATATAAAGCGGATATCTGCACATTTGCAGAGTTCTACTCATTGACAATAGAGAGGGTATTTCCTTTTCCCTAGAGAAGGAGTGAGCAATGTTGTTTTTTCTCACTTCACATATGTTTGCTTTCTTCTTCGAGGGTCCCCATTGGTGCTCTACTTAGGTGTGTCAGCACCTCTGTGCTTCTGGTGGCTTTCATATTAGAAAAAAGGAAATACATTAGAGGGCTCCTAAACTATTTCAACTCCCTAATGCCTAATCATAACTTTTTTAAAAGAAGGATCACTTACATCACTTTAAGAAGAAGAGGAGAAAACCTAAAACCCAAAGCAATCAGCTGATTTCCAAGGCTCTGATTTAGCAAGATATTTAATCATTTGCTTAATATTAATTATGTGGGTTGAATCACTGATTTCAATAGGACCACCTGGTCTTACGGTTAGGGTGCATCTACACTACAGAACTTAACTCGAAATAAGCTATGTCAATTCCGTATCTTATTTTGAAATAGCTTATTTCAAAATAGGAGCATCTACAAAGCACTTATTTTGAAATAGAGCACTCTTCCTCCGACTTCCTCATACAATGAGGGTTACAGGAGTTGGAGTAAGAAGTCCTCCAGCTTGACAGTATTTTGACACTGTTTTGAAATAACTGCCTGCTGTGTAGACGCAGACTAAGTTATTTTGGAATAATGCTAGTTATTTCGAAATCATATTGTAATGTAGCCATGCCTTTGAAGTATGTGCTTTGGTACCTTATTGAATTGGGATCTATATTGCATGATAAAAGGCAGCCAGAAGATACTGTCTCACTTTTCTGTGTTATGATATGCAACACCAGGATAGTATCAAAAGGCTTGTATGATTTTCCAGGTTGTGCATAATGGATATTATTATAACTGTTGTCTTCTTCAAAAAAACAAAAACAAAAACAAAAGTACTTCCAAGGAGAATTTGTGCCAGGGAGAATGTATCAGAATTTATTATCACTTCTTCCAATGAAGAGACAAGTGAATCTTCCTTTTACTTCCACAAACTTTCATTCTTTCCATGTGTTTCAGTTTTTGGACAAGATCCAGATATGATCCGGGATGGCTCAACAATTCCTATTGCCAGAATGTTCCAAAATATAACAAAGAAGAGTGTGATGATGTTTCCAATTGGAGACGCTGATGCTGGGGAGCATTCCCAAAACGAGAAAATAAGCAGGTTAAATTAAAAAAGACATCATTAATGATATGAAGAGGAAATTGAAGCACTAATGTTCACCCACAGCAATTCCAGCATACTAGGCTGTGCCCACGTGATTCTAACTGACAGTCCTATTTCTCTCTATTTTACCCAATGGAATCCATTTTGGGGTATTCATGGTTGTATCCTCTGATAAGCAATAAGGTTTTGCTGCTTTTTCACTTGTGTTGGTCGTGCAACACCAAACAAAGCAGAAATAGAATAAGCTGAAGCCTATTCCTTCTTCCCTACTGACAGAATTGCAGTCTTGCCAACATACATGCTTTTATTGCAAGTCCCATAATAATTAGTGAGTTTTCTTAAAGTCATAGTCAGGCAAATGCTGGAATCAATGATCTGCATGACAGTCTCAAAGGTCTTTAAAAAGACAAAACAAACAAACAAAAAACAAGAGGCAGTAACTCATAGATATTGTGGAGAAAAGCATAAGAATGTGAAGGAAATGTGTCCTAAAGTCTCTGACACCGGAAGGCAAAAAAAAATTAACACATTTATTTTTTAAATCACATGAATTTTTAAGCTTCTTTTATGATTTTTTTGGAGCCTGATGCATGACTTCGGAACACTTGGGATTGGCAATACTGGAATTATCTACCAAGTTCCAATGAGTTACACTTTCAGACCGTTAGTTTTCATTGAGGGCATAATTAGAAGCAAGTAGTGTGACTGAGGAAGTCTGCAGACCCTTTATAACAGGTGATGTTATATGAGATGGAAGAACTCTGCTAAATTCTTAGAATCTAGGTTTGTATTTCCTGGGCTGGCAGTCAGAAGAAAATATCTTTTTCTTGTAAACTGGCCACATTTGATCTGGAAATCACTGAGAGTCAGTAAACATGAAATCCCATTCATCCAGCAGTTGCTTTTTAGGGAGTAGACCCACACATTAAGGTTATGAAAGAAGTGCTGAAGGGATCCAAAACCAAAATTTGCATTCTCTGATCATGTTTCTGGAATTCACAAAGGAAGACTTGCCATCATAGCTGACACTAATGCCATGTTTTTGAGACACTTAGCAAAGACATATGGATGAAGTTGGCATAACTAGGGATGTAGTTCCTGTCTCATCCTTAGAGGTAGTTTTCCGTGCATCTCCATCCCTTGATGAGGATAAGGCATCATGGGATGATATGGAGAAGCTAGTATAGCCATTTCCCATGTTGTATTTGTCCCATGGATAAATTGGACGTTTACAATGCAAAGGTTCTTACTCTGGCATCTTGAACCTCAAGCACTTAATTCTTCCCTTCTCTCTCCCTCTCCACTAAACGGGGGCCCAGTCTTGCAAAGTATTAAGTACCCTCAAATCTCATTGAAACCAACAGGAGTTGATGGTGTTGATCATTTCCCAGGATTACGCCCTTGTTTTGCATAATTTGTTTAATAATATTGGTCTTTGTTTCTTTTTTTTTTCTCCATAGGAGCAATTATTTTCAAGGAACAAAACTGTTTGCAACCTTTTTCTTGGAGATTGCAAAGCTGCATGAACAATTACAGGAAGCCTCCACAATGAAGACTACAAACTGATGGACTCTGGAAAGACAATAAGCTATATGTCTGCCTGTTGCCTTAAGCATTCTAAACCTCCTTCTTTACTCTGGAGAAACGTATAAACAATAAAATATTTAGAAGTGCACTGCATGTCTGAAAAACTGATTTTATTCATTGTCTAATACAATTGGACTAATGGTGCTTCATGCTCGTTAAACGAAATGTTTCAGTTGGCAACGTTAGCCCAGGAGGTGATGGGAGCAGGAAACAGTTTGTTATTAAAGTTCACATCTTTCCAGAGACAACTCAGGTCTGCCAATGGTGGGGAAGAGGGGTAGAGGTAAAATGAGGACAGCTGGCTTCAGCAGTGCTCAGTCTAAGTAAGCACACTCAGTGCAAGCTAAGCAGCAAATCTGGGCACGGAAAGGAGGAAGGGACATATGACCCCCACATGTCCTCCCTCCCACATATAGCTGCTACTTATTTGCAGTGTGACAAAGATCATATTGCTTTGTTCACATTCCAGTTCATGAACATAAATTCCTTTGTAGCATCCCTTCTTTCCTTTTTGCTATATATTAATTTCTATCAGACGATTGACTGAAAAATATTTCACCATATTAACCTCTTCCCTGGTCACTTTTCCTACAACTCTCCCCCCCTGCAACTATTGCATTTTATTGTGTCTTGCCTAATTACACGAGATGGATGATTAGAAATTAGTTCAGCTTTTCTACAATTCCTGTATAGCATTTATCCCGATGCCCTCTTGCAGCTGATTCCATGGGTTAATTATTACAGAGCATTTCCATTTATTGGCTCCAAACTTTCAGCCCTTTCCATGTTCTCACATTATTATGCAAGGCAAAGAAAAAAGAAGAGGAGTCATTTTCCATTTTTATTAAATATTTAATTTTTGGCACTAATAAGGATAATATTACCAAGAATAACAACATTTTACAAAATAAAGGGCTTTTTCTTTCCCTCTCACTATTTCAGTTGTTTCAAATGGGATTGATCATTTGGTTTCTGAGTAAACTGTGTGGCAAAAGTATTTCCCATTTTGATTTGACACAGATACACAATCTTCTCTGTTTTCTTCATGTAAGTTGGAAATAAGATGACTATGCCATCAGGATCAGTTTGTCAAATGCAATGCAAAGAATAGACTGCCTGAAGTCAATGGAGCCTCGGGTGAAATAAGGTTGACAGATTTGGATCCTGTCTCTTTCTCTGTTTAATCCTATTCTCTTCCCATTTTGCTGTTTGACATTAAAGATTTCCATGTATTATACTCCTCCTTAATATAGCTAACTGTTAGGAGAGCAGTCCTTCAGATTCTGCTTACATATAAATATCCTCCACTCATACGACCAGCAAGAAAGCCAGTGCAATGACCTTCTCCAAACTTAGTCCCTTCCTGTTCTCTGGCCTTCCTATCTGGGTAAACTTGCCCCACAGATCTCCACTTCTGGCAAGGGAGCCCTTAAAGGGGACAGCACCCCTTGTTTTCCCACTAGCCAGACAAAGATCACACTGCTTGAAGGTTGTGGTGGGCACAAGCTTTTAAGCACTGCTCTATTGTTAGTTTTGTGAGTGTGATAGCGTCTCCAAAACAAAACTAACAGCAAGAAGGTTTTGTGGAGAAGAAACTTCAATATTGATACAAAAATTGTAGTAATTTATCATAATTATTCTTATAATATTGTGTGTGTAAGGAATTTTAAAACATAACTTCAATTACTTTATTTTGTGACCCTTAAAAAATAAATCACATGCAATCAATGTTTTTGATTGCTTAGTTTATTAAACAATTTCAGAAAGAAATTGCAGAAAGCTATTTGTCAGATAGAGATAAATCAAGTGTCAGCAAGATAACACCTTGTAGACATAACACCCTGTTTATTACCCCAAAAGGTGTTAATGCAAATTTTAAAATGCAGCCTTTGTAATTGCTATTTTTCTTAGCCTATATTTTAAAAATATGTTTACTGCCATTTTTGGTTTGCACAAAATAGTTAATGGTTGTTTTAATTGCCAGCTATAAATGCTACAAAGGCAAGTCATAATTCTAAGGAGTGTTGGGTCAAAAGACAAACAAACCAAGAGGACATCTTTCAAGGAACAGAACACCGTCCTTTAAGATACTAGTTTTGGTATAACTGCAAGCCTTGTCTCAAGGAAATAAAGTTGTACAAACATTCCCATTTTGTTAAAAAAAAAACCAAACCCTTCATTGTATAAACTGGAATGCAAGAATGATCCTTATTTAGAATACTTCAAAGAGGACTGTAGCAATGTGTTATCAGTGCCAAAAAGGGGGGGAGGAGGGGCTTTGTCAACCCTTCTTTTTCAAGAGAAAACCCCTGTTCAAAGCCTACAAAATTCTTATGGCAAGTAATTCTTTAATTAACACTCTAAAATCTTTATCCTGAAACTTTAATTGTGGGGAAGTGTTTTGAAGAAAATGAAGAAAACCTCTTCAAAACTTGTTGAGAACAAGAGTACAACCCTTTAATAATTCTTCCAGTTTGAGGACTTTTAAGTATTTATTTTTAAAAGCCCTTGAGAGCTAAGAAGATTTTATATAAAGAAAGAATAGGAGTGTTTGGACTTATTCAAAACACAGTTTCAATTCCTACTGAACCCTAATGAAACTGAAGACATATCTCAGAAAATGGGCTAAGTGAAATGAATTAAAGTTATAAACTTAAAAGTGGTTTAAAAATCTCCCAGAACAAAGAAAAAGGAAAGACAACTGTCAAGGAAGAATCACAACTCTAGTGCATGTAGGAATTAACAAATTACATATTCATAAGATGAAGGGGCTCCTAAAGACAACCCAGGAAATTACTGAGCCTGTGAAAAGTTGATAGCAGCTAATTTGGAATTTGCACTCTTAGTTTTGTGCTTCCATCCACAATTTTACAACATTCACCAATTAGTCCTGCCCAACTATACAAATGAATTGCCACAGCCAATTAAGGGCTTGTCTAGACTACATTCCTATGTCGAAAGAGGAATGTAAATGAGCCCAATCGAAGTGCAAATGAAGCATGGATTTAAATATCTCATGCTTCATTTGCATATTCGCATCCAATCTCTGTTTTGGAAAAGGGTTTTTCGAAAGGGAAACCGCAACCTAGACGCGGTTCTTTCGGAAAAAAATCCACCCTTTTTCAAAAAAACCCGTATTCCTCATTCCATGAGGAGCAAGGGATGTTTTGGAATAGTGATTTATTTCAAAATAAGTGCTGTGTAGACAGTGCCAAATTTCAAAATAAGCTAGTTTGAAACTGACTCAAAAAAAGCTACGCAACTTACATAGTTCAAATTGCATAGCTTATTTTGAGCTATGGGTGCAGTATAGATGTACCCTTAAGGACCCAAGCAAGGTTGGGTAAGTATGCTAGTGGTATATAAAAGAGCCTCTTTTTTAAAAAATCATGTAAGAGACTCATGCCTATGTTGGCAGTAAGTGATAACTAGTAAGAGCTGGCCTGCCACGTTTTTGTTTATCAAGACTAAATATTTTTAGTAACTTTTGGGAACAATTACTTAGCACTCAACAATCTCACCTCCAAGTTTGCTCTCTGTTTTAAACTCTCCATCTAGAATAAATTCGTAGGGCAGCTTTGCATCCTGGGAATCAGGCACTAGTCTTTAGGCTGAGACTCCTGAAAAAAGGCTTTGCTTGCTTGTCATTTGTGATACCCTCTGACCTAGCAGTCAAATGTACTGTGTACATAAATGGAATCACACTAAAAAACATGCAGATACTGTGTCTCTGTCACACAGCCCCCCGCCCTAACCCCCCCTGAGCCCGTGTGGGAGCGAGACCTCACGTTAACGGCACGGAGGTCCCGGTCCCTACCTTTGTTCTGGGCTTGTAAAGTTAAGGGGTTAGGTATCGGCCCATGCAGGTGAGCTTACGATAGGCCAATCTACCATCCTGCAAGCCGTATATCTCCCTGGGTTTGGGTAATAGTCACCGGTCGTTTAGGGGAGGTGTTGACATCCATCGCAGTGTTACCCGCCACGGCCTTATACTGGGGTTCCCTCAGGGGGAGGAGTTCCCCGGAGGAATTACTCACTGCCCCTCCGGGGGGGGTGGTGTTATGGATGCCGTCAGGGCGGGTGCCCTCGCCTGAGACCTGTGCCGCGGGCTCTCTCACACTCCGCCGTCTGCCCCGTCCCTCGGGACTAAGGGGTACGGTGTTCTGCACGCGTCCTGGGGTTTGGGCTACCCGTCTGCTCCCCTCCGGCCGCTGCTCCCCCGGCCTCCTGGTTCTGGGCGGTCCCTGCGCCTGCCTTCCACTTGCCCGGTTCCCCCGGTCGCCTCTCCGGTACTCTGGCCGCTTTGGATCCAGCTCCGTTGCCTCATGTCCAGCGTCTCCGGCCGCTTCCACCCCCTGCCAGCTGATCCGTGCTTCTTTTAAACACCGGGTGCAGATCTTGGTGCATGAGCAGCACTGCCGGGGAGGGGGCGCTCTAAGGTATCAGGGTCGTCTGCGGGAGGGCACGGGGACGGGTCCACCCCGTCACACACCCTCCCCTTTAAGTTTGGTTCTTCTATTTTTTCTGCCTCTCCCCCGCTTGTTCTAGAGAAAAAATCTGCACTGCTGTGCTTCTTACCGGCCTGTGTGCCAGCTCAAATTCATAAGGTTGTAATGCCAAATACCAGCGCATTATCCGCGGGTTTGTCTCTTTCATTGAGTTCAGCCACTGTAGCGGGGCGTGGGCTGTCACCAAAAGAAACGGAGCCCCCAACAGATAACAATGTAGGGCCTTGACCACCCATCTTGCAGCCAGTGCCTTCTTTTCGATCGTTGAATATTGTTGTTCCCGGGGGAACAGCTTGCGACTTAGGAACAGTATGGGGTGTTCGGCACCCCTTTTTTCTTGGGATAACACTGCCCCAAGCCCCACTTCCGAGGTATTGGTCTGTAAAATAAAAGGTTGGGAGAAATCAGGTTGTGTTAGTACCGGCTCTTAGGATAGCTGTTGCTTAAGGGTTTGGAATGCCTTTTCGCATGGTCCAGGCCACTTAATTTTTTGAGGAAGGTTATTCTTCGTTAATTCCGTTAATGGCGCCGCTATTGTCGCGAAGTCTTGCACAAACCGTCTGTAATAGCTGGCCAGGCC